TCTAAAGTCCAAAGAAGGCAATATAAATTAGGCTGATTTGGGGTCCAAAGAGGGCAATTTTATTCTGGGGCTGGTCTGAGGTCTGAAGAGGGCTGTGTTAAAGCGGAGCTGATTTGGGGTCTGAAGGTTAAAATTATGTTGACCTGGGGAGTGAATTTTAAGGAGACAGAGATGGGGTCTAAATGTTAAAGGGTCTCAGTGTCAGGTATCCTCTTTCTAATTTTGATGCTGGATCACCTCTCCCTCACAATAACACTAACTCTGGGACACTTTTTTCCTACCACAAATAAGAGACATTTTTTTCTCCTACTGACGCTTGTGCTAAGTTTTTCTGCTATTAATGTCAGGGCTTTTTTTTCCTCCCAGTGACCAATAATTTTAGGCATAAAATGATGTCAGACATTTTTCCCAATGAACAGAAATATTAGGTGCACTAGGTTATCTTATCCTAACTGCTGTCCTATGCTGTATGTTAAACATCTCCCAACCAAAGTGTTTGTTGTTTCGACAGTTGCTGGTTGCCAAAGTAGCCCCCAAGTGTTGGAATGAAGGCAGACTCAAACAGAAGGGAACATGTACTGTAATGGAAATATTTTTTAACAATGATATTTTGTTCTGACATTTATTATAGCTGTAAGAGTTCTACTTGTGGTACAGTAATTACAGGTATTTTTTAGGGTATAAGGACTGTGACACACACTTGCAGTGTATACTGTGAGTAGCTTAAGGGCCTGTTCACATCAATTGTGGTTTCCAACATGAGTATCCATCTAGCACCATGCAAGTTGATGTCCCACGGTTTTAAAAGTCACACCTGCCATACTTTTTTGTTCAAATTGCCAGTTTGTTTGGAAGCCCATGGAAATTAATTAGCCATCAGGAAAGCACAAGAATGGTTCTGCTGTGAACTGGCCCTTAGACTCTATTTAACTGTGCCCCTTTAAACCATGTTCAATGTTCAGAGCCATATCCACACCAAAATTTTCCCTTTGGCCTACTGTGTGCCATTTCCTGGCTGTACCTCTTTTGCAAAGTTTTGAACTGGGAGATCAACAAAGAATTACAAAACAATTTCGGGAAACAAAAATAAATAATCAGTAAGCTACATATGCAGTTCAGCAAGCACTACACCAGTGCAAAAAAAATATATCTAACATAAAAATAGTGCAGCGCTAAAAGTAGTGACAATAAGACAAATAAAAGTCAAAAAGTCTTGGTCATATGGACGTGTCCAGTGACAAATGAGGATTCAAATTGGTGATCCGTGTGGAACAAAAACGCAAAGTAAGACACATAAACGCAGTGTGCATCTAGAGCTCATGGATCCTCAATCCAGAGGGGAGTAAAGCTGGTCCGGTTACAGGAATGGTGAATCCCTCCTCTGCCTCCACATTGCCGCCGTCACGAGAACCACAATTGAGAGGCGGGGCGGCAATCTGACATTGCTCCGCCTCCACAGCAACAAAAAGAGAGGCGGGTCTGACAACCAACAACCCTCTCCTACAAAACGTGACTTCAATTGTGGTGTCTCGTGACGCCAAAGTAATCTTGATCTTGGAATTTACACCTAATCGAGAGAAGGAGGATCTGTTGCTGCATCCACAGAGGAGGGATTCACCATTCCTGTAACCGGACCAGCTTTACTCCCCTCTGGATTGAGGATCTATGAGCTCTAGATGCACACTGCGTTTATGTGTCTTACTTCTGGTGAGTGCGTTTTTCAGCCGTTTCCACACGGATCACCAATTCTGAATCCTCATTTGTCACTGGACACGTCCATATGACCAAGACTTTTAGTGGACTTTTATTTGTCTTATTGTCACTACTTTTAGCGCTGCACTATTTTTATGTTATTTCATTTAAGTTTATATTGGTTGCTTAGAGTGCTCAGCCGCTTTCAGGATTAGCGCTCACTGCTGTTTTTTTTCTATACCAAAAATATATATCTGTTTGTCCTAATTTGAATTTTCTACATACAGAGCTCTCCTAACAGGATCACTGGGAGTGTACTTCCTAAAGACTTTAATGTGTAACTCAATAAGTGAATCAGTTTAGTGGTTGTGAAGATGTTATATGCTGGTTGTAAAGACTGTCTTACATTGATACTCTATTACTGTATTTGTCAAACTTTTTCCAGTCAAGGCATCCTTCAAAATGATGCACAATCTTGAAGCACCCCATTCCAAAATATAAAAAACTAAACGAATAATTTTACATAATGCAGTGACATCAACACACACAGAACACTCAATATTAGAGTTGATTTATTCTTACAAAGGAAATACTCCTTTTCACACTGGTTTATTTATTTATTTCAGGTACTTATATAGCGCCATCAATTTACGCAGCACTTTACATATATATTGTACATTCACATCAGTTCCTAACCCTCAAGGGGTGTACAATCTAAGGTCCCTAACTTACATTCAAACATACACATACTAGGATCAATTTAGACAGGATCCAATTAACCTACCAGCACTGGTTTTGATTAGTATTCCAGCGTTTTTCTTCTCCCTCAGTTTCTCTCCCTCATTCATCTAATGTAACCCCAGTGCTGATGGAAAGGGGCAAACAAGGATGTCCTCAGGCCCCAGCATCCTCCTTATCAACCTATGACTTCTTTGGTTAGAATGCCAGCAGCTGGCCAGCATGGTGCCCAAGATTGTAATATTGCACATGTAGGGCTACCACCCACAGAAGCTTCTTGTTTTCCCTAGATTTCCCCCCGCAGCCAAGCACACTGCATTTCCTTAGTCAACTGCACACAACTTCCACTCGTTACTCCAATGATAAGTCTAGGGGTTGTAGTTTTTTGTTGTTTTATTTGTGTTTCCGAACCTGGATTGAGAACGGATATAGCAGGATACTCCAAATCAAACTATGCACAATGGAGGACAGCTTTCTCAAAATGGAACTGTCTAGCAGACTGTCCAAGAATGCAGCAAAGTCCATCTGTAGATATGCAGACTTAGTGAACAATTGCACTTCTGGACACCAGCCGGTGTCCCCGCTAGCTTACACCGAGCAGCTGACTATATAGATCCCGAGGGGGTTTTAACAGCACATGTCCCAGTATCCATGTAGAACAGTGTGTACTCACAAGGCCCTTGCTGCAGGTCACCTTCCTCTGTGACACCAGACAGGATCTGTAGACACCCCCCTCAGTCAGCTCTCAGAAGCACCCTGGATTATAGCATTCTGACCCTCAGGTCACCCACCCGAGGCTTACTGGCAGCATGAGCCAGGAGAGGCAGCTGCCTCCCTGGGCGGGAGCTCCCTTCTCACAAAGGAAGAGGAAGAACCCAGATCATATGTGCTCACTGAATACAAATACTAGTACCCAGCATTCTCAGGGGCACCACTCCCTGTAATTGGCTGGAACTACATCCATATTCATGCTGCTGATCTGCATGGGTCACTCCTGTTCACCCAGAACCTTCCAAGGTCTCCTGAATACAGAGGAGCCAATCACCGCAGCAGCATTGTGAGTCACACAGGATCTTCTCACTAAGCAATTGTAGCTTTCTGTTAAGGAGAGAAGCTGCTATGTTTTACCTATCAAGTTGACAATTTTTGGGCAATTTGAAGCAATTTTTAGGCATTTTGCCAAGGTACTCCTGAAGAACCTAGAAGGCACCCTGGTTGAAAAAAGCTGTTCTATTACATCAAGATTTCTGAATACAGTGAGGTAGCAAGGAGCTCACAGTGAGTGCGTTTGGGAATTTCTCATTTGCATCATAGCTGTCAACATGCCACAGTCTCCTTTTTTAATTTTTTAATTTTAGATACTTACATAACACCATCTATTTGTACAGCGCTTTACATATATACAGTATATATTGTACATTCACATCAGTCCCTAACCCTCAAGGAGCTTTCAATACACATACCAGGCCAATTTAAACAGGAGCCAATTAACCTACTAGCATGTCTTTGGAGTGTGGGAGGAAACCGGAGTAAATCCACACAGACACAGGGAGAACATGCAAACTCCAGGCAGGTAGTGCCATGGTTGGGATTCGAACCGACACAACTAGTGCTGCTGGGTGGAAGTTCTAACCACTTTAGCTACTGTGCTTTTAATTTTGCCTGTAGAGTATTTTTAATGACTTACTCCCACTCTTGTGGGTTATTTGAGACTTGTGTCATACTGTGCTACATTATCATTCCATGGCACTTGTTTCTGAATGTCCACAGGGCATAATACTAACAGTTCTAACATATATTGGCCCCTGGTAAAGGCTCCTTCAGCAAGTTTACTGTCATTATTTAGATTATTTTCTCAAATGCTTTTAAAATGTCCTCTATTATTAACAATATTTATTTTGAATTATAGCAGGGCTCCTGGCTGCATGGCATTAGCATACAGCATCTCACAAGCTGGCAAATGTGGAGATTTCTACTGTACGTACAAGTGTAATTGTGCGCAGTCATCACTAGGTGGCGCTACACTGTACTTTACAGCTTGCCTTAGGCTGCATGGATAACAATCTATTTCAAGGAGCCTAGTTTACACCACTGTGATGTTTTCATATAGAACACTACAGCATTCTGCATTTTTTCACACATGAACGTGCCATAATGCATGTAAACACACTCCAAATGAATGCAAATCGATAAGAAATAATAAATAATGCTTAAAAAATGCACCGCAAACACACTGCAAACGTGCTGCAAACCCAATACACATGCATGTGGAAGTGCACATTGAACATGGGGGTTGTGGTGTAAGCAAGCCCTAAAAGCAATCTTTCCCCACAACATGGACACCTAGACATCCCACAGTCAAAGTAACATGTTTCTTTACATACATCTGCTAGGAATTAATAGCACAGTGTACGTTCCTTCTGTAGCTTTTACAGCCTCCAGCTACAGGCAGCTTTCTGATACAGAGCTGGGCATGCAGAGTCTGCATGATAAAGTGTTACTAAACCCAGGACCCTGCATTCACTATATCTGATCTCCCACAGTACACGCTACATGGAAATGCAATTATTTTAGTAAATATAAACTGCTAAATACCTTTTCTCATCAGCAGTTAGAGCAGTCTTGTGACTTCAGCAGAGCACTGGTTAAAGCTTGTAGGAGGAGTTTTCATTCTTTTCTGACAGTAGGACCCCTGACCTCTGTCTGGACAATGCTTTTTGGCCCTGTGCTGATCACATGCACCCTTCCAAGAAAAAGAAAAACCTCTCTAGCAATACACACTAACCTGAGCATATGCAGCTTGCCCCAAGGCTCTGTTCTATCAGGAGATGAAATGGGGACAGTAAAAAAAGGGGGAGGATCAGAGAAGGCAGGCTCAAACATCCTTTTTACACAATGCAGAAGATTAACCCCTTGAGTTTCACAGTGAGTATAACAAGCATGCTTTACTGCATATACAGACTGATTTTACTGTTGTGGGTTTAGTAACTTGAAATGTCTCAAAATACAGAAATACTACAATTACAGAATTAAATAAATAAAATAATAGGTGATAAATACATGTTGAGAGAGGCAGGCTGTGGTTAGCCAAAATGTTAGTGCAATAAAGATATTATACCATCCTCTTTGTTCTTCTGTGAAAGTCCTTTGAGTGCTATACTCTATATACAGTATATACTGTATATTAACATTAGAAAGCAATGTCCACTGAGCTTTTAGCTTCAGCTTGCGTAGTTAGGCTTTGGAAATTAAAGTTAGAAGCTGATTGGTTGCCACGCACAGCTGCTCCAGATTCTAACTGCTCCAGCTTTAGTAAATTGCCCTTCTATGTCAGGGAGAGTACCGTGCTTTTTTTTACTGCAGCATAAGGTTCCAAATACATGGTGTGTTTGAAAATTGACAGCAGGAAAACGCAGGTTAAAAAATGTCAGTTTTGCCGCGTTTGCATACCGCGTTTATGCATGGTTAGCTGCGTTTATGAGCGTTTGCATTCAGAAACGGTTTTTAAAGATAAGCACAGGAAAACATCCCAAATGCCCAGAATGCACTGGAAAATGGTAAATTATTAACTATTTCAGACTGTTTGAGAGAAATAGAGAGAGTATTATTATTATTATACAGTATTTATAAAAGCGCCAACAGTTCGCTCAGCGCTGTACATTACAATGGGAAACAGAACATGCGACAGTACAATAACAATACAATGCGATACACAAGGGGTTTGAGGGCCCTGCTCCTTGGAGCTTACAATCTAGGAAGCAGAGAGAACAGTATTTGGTGAGATTAGCTCTCTTTTTCTTTTTGTGGTGTTTGGATGTGTTCCAGCTCACGTCTATGCAGAAATTATTGCAGCAGTGTCTGACATATTTTTTTTCTAGCGAAACCTCAAAGTATGGTGCACCAGGTCCATTTGAGTACCAGGAAAAACCTTTGCATTCATTTTTCATGATGGAAAAAGGCTCTGGACAGCATCTGACAATTTTCCAAATGCAAATGCTTATAAACATGGTTAGTTGCGTTTACACGTGTTTACTAGCGTTTGGCGTTTGAAAAGCTGATAAATTCTACTCCTGAAAGCAAGTTTGGTGCATTCCAAAAAACTACTGTAAACTCAACTGCCTGTAAATGACTGTAAACGAAGATGTGTACATGGACACATAGGAAAACATTAGGGAGAGTTCAGGGGCTGCTGAAAAAAATGCTGAACAGCTCCTAAATGTGAGTTTATCAGCTGCAGTTTACATGGAGCCTAACGCAAGGAGGGATTAGTACTGTCAATTTTTTATTACTGTCTGTGTCCCCACTGTGTAGATTGACTTTCCATTTGTCCTGGTGACCATTGCCATGGTGACAGTAAATGATGAGAAACCCAAAGGTTGTCACCTGAAAAAGAATTGGAGGAAATCCCCCAATGGAACACATATTCCGGTGACAACTGGCTAACACAGTGGTGGTCCACAATCATGAAGTCCTTGACATAACCAAAAGGTTGCACAAGATATTCAGGGAATGTAATGATACAGAGCCTAGCCATGTACAGTACATAATAATAAGGGATCCTCCTGCGCTCATGGGAATAATTGACAAAATACAGCTGCTGTCACTTAGCTGATACCAATAAGTGCAAAATAAAATTAAAAATTAGTGAAGCGCTTGTATCACATGAATACAATCATGTATCTCCATATAGTGTAATTATAAATCAAAGTGACCACTATATATAATAAATGTGTGTTGACTCCCTCTAGTGAAAAGAAAAAATAGTGTCAACCAAAATAGCTAAATAACACACATTAGGAAACTAAATATATAGTGCATAAATCAAATATAATGAACAGAATATATATATACGTGAAAACAGAATATTGGCCACATACAATGGTGTCTAAATTATACATAAATGATATATGCCATAGGTGAACAAGACAATATCAAAGGTGAAAAAAATATTCCATGCATGTGACTGTGCTTTAAGCTGGAACACACACGTGATCTCCACTTCTAAGTGCAAGTACTCTCCTTCAAATGGCAGCAATGCCTGCTCACCTCCCTTCCTCGACCCACACAGGGCCTCAAAGCAGTTACCACCTCAGTGGTGTATTCCTCTGGCAGACTCCTTATTCCTCCTCCTCTCTTATGCAACTCATAAAAAGACAAGAAAGCCTTCCATAGTGTAGTAAATTTAATAGGCAAAGTTAAAAATTACAAAGTATTCCACTCACATGCTCCTTTCCATAAAAAAGCGTTTTTCCAGCCTGTGGGTAGATATGCATGCACCTGGGGGAATCCAATATGGCCACTGTGTCCGGACATACGTCACCAGGAAGTAGACAAACCGACGCGTAGCGTCACGTGCGTCGTGACTTCATCAGGGTTGACCCTGATGAAGTCACGACGCACGTGACGCTACGCGTCGGTTTGTCTACTTCCTGGTGACGTATGTCCGGACACAGTGGCCATATTGGATTCCCCCAGGTGCATGCATATCTACCCACAGGCTGGGAAAAACGCTTTTTTATGGAAAGGAGCATGTGAGTGGAATACTTTGTAATTTTTAACTTTGCCTATTAAATTTACTACACTATGGAAGGCTTTCTTGTCTTTTTATGAGTTGCATAAGAGAGGAGGAGGAATAAGGAGTCTGCCAGAGGAATACACCACTGAGGTGGTAACTGCTTTGAGGCCCTGTGTGGGTCGAGGAAGGGAGGTGAGCAGGCATTGCTGCCATTTGAAGGAGAGTACTTGCACTTAGAAGTGGAGATCACGTGTGTGTTCCAGCTTAAAGCACAGTCACATGCATGGAATATTTTTTTCACCTTTGATATTGTCTTGTTCACCTATGGCATATATCATTTATGTATAATTTAGACACCATTGTATGTGGCCAATATTCTGTTTTCACGTATATATATATTCTGTTCATTATATTTGATTTATGCACTATATATTTAGTTTCCTAATGTGTGTTATTTAGCTATTTTGGTTGACACTATTTTTTCTTTTCACTAGAGGGAGTCAACACACATTTATTATATATAGTGGTCACTTTGATTTATAATTACACTATATGGAGATACATGATTGTATTCATGTGATACAAGCGCTTCACTAATTTTTAATTTTTTTTTTTTTTTTTTTTTTCATGTACAGTACATATATTATCACATTCTGCATGCCACTCCCAAGCCTGGCCAAATGGACAGTGTTGAGATAAGATGCATGGACTTGTCTTGTCAAAAACACACCAAGAAAATCCTATAGAAAGGCTTAAACAGCACAAGCATCACTCATACACTTGGTTCTTACCAAATAAATGGCATTGCAATCAGATCACCTATGTCCTTTGCAGTCATTGATGGAACAATTTTGTCCACATGGTCAAAACGCTTCCAGGAACCAACTGTGGCTCAGATCATGAAATGTTGGTAGTTAAGATCAGAAACAAACTCGATTAACATCATAAAGGCAGCACCACTAGAAAGGTTCAACATCCCCTAAATCCTTTCTACATACATAATTGAAGTGAAAAATAATTTTGAACTGCTGGACACTGCTGAGAAGATGCCCAAAGAGCTGTGACCTAAAATTCAGTAGACCACTACTGAAACAGCAGTCAAATATATATCATAAAAAAATGCAAAAAAGGAGTAAACCATCAAAATAGCTGAGCAAAGAAAAGTAGCCAAAGCAGTGGGGAAAGGAGGGTGCAGGATAATTGCAGGGAGAAAAGACAAAGTTTACTTTGTCCAGGAACACAAGCAGCTGTAAGAGGACTGCATGTAGGTCAAGGGTGCTCAAACTTTTGAAGATTGAGGGCCACTTAAATGATTTGCAAACCAGTCATGGGCCACAATGAAATGGAATGGTTCAGAACTTTCGATTTTTTTTAAAATTATTTTGAAGAGCACAATGGATATTTTCTTCTTGCAACTGGCTTGGATTGGGCGCAGGAGGAAAATGGAGAGGATTGGTTCTTGTACATGCCACCCCCACCACCCCTTCTGTCCAAGCGTAAAACAGAATGTGACGCACAGGCCTCTGATATGGAGCATGAAGCAGGGTCGCCACTGCAACCCCTGATGCTATACCAGTGGTTGGGGGGGTTGGTGAAAACATATATCAACTATGGGGTTTTACCGCCCCCCGAACTGCAAATGTAACAAGCCTTTACTGTCCTTAGCCAACTATAGGACTGCTTTTACACTGATGCACTGTGGTTTACCCGCACAGTGGATGCAGCACAGTGCACCTGCGGCTTTCCTGCAGGTTAGCTACACTTTGCCATAGACTTCTAATATCTTGTAGATGTGGTGCACTTTCAGAAAGCGCACAAAGCTTGCAGGATATAATAGAAGTCTTTGAATCACTGCAGCTAATGTGCCTGAAAACCCACAGATGCACTGTGCTGCATCCACAGATCAGTGTAAAAGCAGCCTATTAGTTACTAACCCTTTTATAGGTGCTAATATGCCCATTGCAAAAGCTCAATGTATGAGTTATTTAATACACTGACCTTCTTTTCCTCTTCCAGCAAGTGCTAGAAGTGCATATGGTATCACTTTTTTTCTTTTTTTTTACATACTGTCATCAGAGTAGTTCAACGTCACCATAGTGACACTTTACTACTCTGGGGAGGTGATCAGGGTTTTTTTTTACACTATTATTGCTTATAACAGTATTGCTCACTGTTATAAACAATCATTTGAACTGTCGTGAATGGATTTCATTCATGACTTACTGTTTACTATTGTGCTGCTGTGATTGGTCACAAGTGATAACATGGTACAGGGTGCTGTGATTGGCCCAGGTACCATGTGATCATAAGTTACCAGTCACAACAGTAAGCAAAATGTCATGAATGAAAGCCATTTATGATAGTTTGC